CAGAGAAGGCAGTTCTAAATACCATGTGGAAATTTTGCATAGAAATGCTGTTAACAATTTCAGATTTTATTTTTAAGTGGTATCTAAATGATATCAGGAAGAGCTGAGCTGTTCTTTCTGTCTGGGTTTTGATGGAGTGCTTCATCATATTGAATAATTTTGTCAATTCAGAAGTTATTTTAATAAGAATTTTTGTATTGTATTTCCAAATGCTGTACTGTGTGCCAGAAATTATGTTGAATTTCACCCAGCGAGAGATGGAAAAAATAATTTCCTATTTAAGCAACGTGGAGAGGGGCACTTTGGTTTGAGTTTTTTATTCCCCTCTTTAGAGATGATGCAACAAATTTATACATGGAGTAGAGGTACAGGATGGGACTCACATTAATGTTCCATTAGTGTTACTGTATGTCATTAGGCTCTGCATGCCATTTCTGGGTCGTGCTATGATTAGTACAGGTGTTTAAAGGCAAAAGACTTTATTCTTCATCAGCAAGTAACAGGACATTTTGTCTAGGCAGCAGATGTTTGTGAACTTGGCATTCAGAGAGTTAAGCAAAATTAATTAATTCAAAGTACAAATTGTTAGTATCATTGATAAGGCCAGGTAAAACATATTAACAGACATTCTTTCTGGAGCATATCTGCAAAAATTCAATATATATTTTTTATATTTTCTTGGGGATATTATCATGGGGATAGGTTTGTATGTGTAGATGTTTTCATAAGCCAGTAAACTTTGTATCCTTTTTCACATCTTTGTTAATTATTTTTACTTACTAAAATTGTTAGAAGCATTGATAGTTTCTTTGTACAGTTTTTTACAACCTCAATTTGTCTGTTCTGAAATATATTTTAATATAAAAAATGCAGCCATATTACTCTATTGCTTATAAAGGCATTTTGTTAGAAAAAGCTGTTCTGATTAAGGTTTTTGCAAATTTTTATTAGGGATCATTTTTTCTTTAAAAGAAAGTTTTTAACTTTTGCCTTAATTTAAAGGAAAGACATCAGGAAAGCCGTTTCCAGTTCATAATGGTCATGGTAGTACTACCTCTGTCCTTCACTTCTGTTAACATACCTCACTCTGACAGTTAAAGCCCTTCTGACTTTTCAGCCCTTATCATTCACACTGCAATCCTGATGGCCACACACCCACCTTCATATTTATAAAGTTGACATTCCAATTTTATCAGCCACTTAATTCCAAGAGTTTTAGTGGATGAAGTAAATGGCACAAAACACCATGGGAACACTGAGAGAATTTGAAAACTTGGCACCTCTTCATGTGAAAACCTTCAGTCCCATCTACCTTGAAGGTGCCTCAACATTTTCATCAGTCTGAAATCAGATGACAGCCTTGTTCTCCCTCTCCCTTCAGGTGCCACTCTCTCTCGTTCTAGTTTGTGTTAATTTCAAACAGGAAATCTCTCTACTTTATAAAGGAGATGGGCCAAACGTTTATACCTGTTGCACTGTATATTTGTTAAACTCTTCTTTGTAAGAGAGATACTTGTCCAAATCCCCAAAATCTAAATAAATGACCTCTTACTTTACGTCCAGTTTTCTCATTTTTTTTCTCATTGAGAGTTGTGGGCATTGCATCAGTTATAGGAGAAGAAGATGAACACAACTTAAAGGTTCAACTGGTGTTCATAAAGTGCTAAAAATAAGCTGACTGGTACTTTCTTTGGAACATTCACAGTCTGCACCCTTAATAGGTCTTCTTTCCATAGGACACTGACGTCCAGCCCCAGGCTCTCTTTGACAGTGGTCTTGAGGTTCAGTCTTTGAGGAACTGGCTCCTGGTCCCTCAGACAGTGTCTCCATAACCTGTGAAGAGCTATCGTGCTTCTCCTTTCCTGCAAAGTTTCCAACAAAGGAGCTGGGAAAACGGAACAGTATGCCTGTGGGTGGAACAGGCAAGTAAACCAAGTGGAGACAGCTGTATGTGGATAGCTATGTTACTGGGTGTGGTCCATGTTTCCCAGAAAGATGCCACCCTTGTGGCCAAGGGGGTTTTCCAAAAGTTGGAGAGAGAAGCTGGGGAGAGAAATATTCGTTTCTGACTGCTTTTTGGTGTCCAAACAGGATTAGTGCAGTGCATGGCAGTGGGCTTGCTTAGCGTGGAGCCTCATGAGAAGGCATTTACTTCACTGCTGGACTTCCCAAGTTACCATCCCAAGGCATGCAGGGCATCCTTAGGTTGCAGCAGGGCAACATGTTGCAACCATTGCAGTAAGTTACTTGCCTAGTCCTGTATCTCTTGGGGCCTCAGGACTGTTAAGGCACTTTTGGTGCATACAGTCAGCTGGTTTTGCTCTAACCTATCAGTGGAGGACTGAAAGAGGTCTGTCTTGTGATGCCTCAAAGCTTTTAGGATTTTTTTAGCTTTTTGTAGATTATAGAAGTAGTTGTGTAGTAAATGTAGATTTTAAGGTAGCTGTGTAATTCCTTACCCTTTAACATAGTAGTTTACAAATACCCAACCTTATTACCCCATTTCATATCAAACCCTCTAAATTGCTTTAGCGTGTTTAGTTTTCTTTTCAAGGCAGGATTGTAGAAAACACCTCTTTTTAAGAACATTGCACCCTAGGCCTGAACAATGAGATACCATGACAGACAAAGTGACCTTCAAGCCCAGGACTTTGGAGGAGCTCCAAGGGCTGTACTGCTGTGAAGAAGATGAAGATGAGGAAGAAGGGGTCCCAAAGACCCCAGACCCAGTTCCCGAAGGGGTGTGTCAGGAGCAGAACTGGGCAGAACCAAGGGGGTGGATAAATCTGGAATTGGATTGATCTTATTATAAAACCAAAGAACCACTGCCTGGGTGCAAGTGTGTGGCATGTATTCCCCCAGGCCTGAGGGCCCGATTAAACGACCTGCTCTTTTATCATATATACTAAATTGGCCTGGGGTTTTTTTTCTCTGTGGTCTCTCAGCCCATCAGTTCTCAACAGTGCTCTGAACTGCCAAAGAAGAATTATTAGTGTAAGAAACATTTTCATCTATAGAAGAAATTGAGATTAACGAAATAAGAATAAATGGCTGGGAGTTGCAGCAAGTTGGAGCAAGACAAAAATTAGGAGGGAATTGAAAATTAGTTACCATCAGAGCTATCAGGGCAAGTAGTCTCTTGAAATCCTGAAACAATAGAAGGCATACTCCAGACAAAACTGAAGTTGTTAAATGATTATCACCTCAGTCTCTTCATGCAGAGTCTCTGGGCTCAACTCTGTGAATCTACATTTTTGCATGTACATGTTAACAGTCTATGTGGTCTTACTCGTGTGACTGGATTTTTGCAGAAGGTGTAGTTAACATGTATTTGAATCTTACCAAGTAGTACTGTCCTACATCCACAGGCATGTAGTGTCTGCTTCCAATTACAGCCTGTCCTCAGACCCTAGGTATAACAAGAAGTTTTATTCTTCTTAGAAAATGCTCTCCTGTCTCCACAGATCTAAAGCAAATTACCCAAGAGACTTACAGTTTCTAGGAATAAATTTAATAGTTTCCAAACTGGACCTTTTTTTTCCTTTTTTTGTCTTTGAAAACAGTTGGATGTCCTTGATCAAGGTAACTGTGGCAACATCTGCATACTTTTTTACTGAACTGTACGTTTTTTCAGGCCAGATAAAGCAATGCCTAACAGATGTACCCAAAAGTTTGGATAGCATAATAGGTGGATTAGCTTCCGTGACAGCATGCTCATGGCAATGAAAAACCTAATTGATTTGAAATCATAGAAGAAGGTATGCAGTATTTAGTTCATTAATCTCAAAATTGTGATGGAATTTCAAGCACTTGGACAATCATAATCTACAAAATTATTGTATATCCTGTATTCCAGTCAAGTATTGAAATTCTTGGCCTTGACAATAAAAAATATCGCTGTTCTGAAAGAAGTCTCGTTTCTCTCCTATAAAATTGTCAGCTTGCAGCCATTTTCCCTTTCAATGTTTTATAAGTTGGATTTTTTCCTCCTAAAGAAAGGATGGCATGTGTTCTAATGGGAATAGATCAAAGTACAGATATTTCAGTTCCAAGAAGCAAATCTTGGCTTCTCAAACTATAGAATCCCCCTTTTCCCTGGCTTCAGTAGATTGCTTTCCTTAAAAAAACTGTGAATTTTCCCCAGGCACGGTTTAATTGAAAGCAAGTCAATTTCACTTCTCTTTCCCTTATAAATTGCTCCCGATAAGCGCAACAGAAGTGTACAGCAGGGTACAGCAGAAGTGGCAAGTTTTTTCCCTGCTCCTGTTTCAGGAAGTGTTGGTACTGTTTACACGTTTTCTTCCTCATTTATTGTCTTACTCGGATGCAGAGTGGCGCACCCCTCTCCCCCTGAGGAACGGATACTCAGCACTTTTCCTGTAATTGAAGAGGTGAAACCCAATCTCGGCACATTTCCACTGTATCCCTAGAGTTTTGGTTGCTCTGCAGAGCAGTCAGCACTTAGCTCAGCTGGCTCTGACCTAATCCGTACTGCGATGCTAACGAAATGGAAACTCTTGGTGACATCAGATGGATGCTCAGAATTATTTTAGGTAGATGCAAAACATGAACCCGTAACATCAAAATGCCTGAAAGTGTTTGCTTTTGCTATACCAGGGCGGTAGACAGCTGCTTTAATTAACTGGCCTATAAGCATAACCGTGTTAAAAATCAGTGCTACAGCACGGCCTTTCCAGGCTCTTGGGTTCTTCTGTTAATTACTAGAATTGTTTCAGTTAATTACAGAAATACAGGTAAACCCAGACGGTGCCATGACTCCGAGAGGTGAACGAGGGGGCACCTCACAGAAACATCACCGCCGGGGCCTGGCGCCCGCACGGGCGATGTCTCCGTGAGGCGTTTTCCCTACGCCCTCGTGCTCCCACGACCTAAGGGGAGTTCTTTGCAGGTGGTGTGGAAAACACCACGGAGCGGCCCCGGAACGCTCGCTCGGCGGCCCGGGCGGCGGCCGGGAGGGTTTGGCGGCGCACCGAGGCGAAGGAGGGCGGGCGTGTCCGGGACGGCGGGGCCTGGCGGCGGCCCCGGCTCCCCTCGGCCTCCGGAGTGCCTTCAGCACCCCTCGTCTGTCCCCAGCCCTCCGCTCGGCTCCCCTCGGCCCCCTGAGCCCCCCTCGGCTCCCCGCATTACCCCGAGCCCCCTTCGTCTCCCGTCAGGCCCCCCAAGCCGCCTCAGCCCACCGCGGAGATGGATGACGAACCCGAGCGGACCAAGCGCTGGGAAGGAGGCTACGAAAGAACATGGTGTGTTCGTCCCCTTTCCCCTCCCTCACCCTATTTCTGGCGAAAGAGGAGAGAAAAATCTCCCTTCCGCTCGCTAACACTCTGCTTTGCGTAGGGAAATTCTTAAAGAAGACGAATCCGGGTCGTTGAAAGCAACCATCGATGATATCCTCTTCAAGGCAAAGAGGAAAAGGTACTTCTCGTGGCCACAAGCCTGCAGATAGCCCTGGCTTGATCATACTGAAAGTGGGCTTTTGTGTCCTTACCCCTTCATGCTTCCTGCCTACTGCTTATTGTGCTGTGAGAAATTGTAAAACGAACTTTTAACTTTAATCTAAGCACTGTGTGTGCAGGCTGGATACCCCAGGTGTATGCAAGCTGGAGGTCTTGATCTGATGGACCGCGGTGCAGAGCACTGCAGTTGCAATCTGCCCAGCTTAGAGAAATCCTCCAGCACTTTTTTTAATACACAAATCATAGAATCATAGAATGGTTTGGGTTGGAAAGGACCTTAAAAAGTTCATCCAGTACCAACGTGGCTGCTATGGACAACACCTCCCACTAGACCAGGCTACTCAGAGCCACATCCAACCTGGTCTTAAAAACTTCCAGATATGAGGTGTCTACAACTTCTCAGCTTCTGTGGGCAACCTGTGCCAGTGCCTCACCAGCCCCATCATAAAAACATCTTTATATCTAATCTAAACCCACTCTGGTTTAGTTAAAAACATTACCCTTTGTCCTATCACAACAGAAGCTGGCGTTTGGTATCATGGGATCAGATTTCCATTTCAAATTTCAGAAAAATTACCAGAAAAAAAAATCTAACTTCTGCTTTATTTCAAGTTATATTAAAACATTCAAATTTGGATAAAATTTTAAAGCTTCATTAAACCTGGTTGTAACAAATAGTTTTTATTTGTTTTCTGAGAGAGAGGAGAGGTCTGTGGCTGAGTTGTGCGATTTTTCAGTGTAAATAAGTGTCTGCAGTTTGTTACTGCTGCATATTTGGCAGAAGTCTAGCTTAGGATTTGTTTTGGGCTTTTGTTTTAGGAGCCATTTCTTCACTTGCCTCTTACTTAAATCCTTCTGTGTTTTGTTAGACTCTATGAACACCATGGACAAGTTCGACTTGGAATGGTATCTTGATGTCTTCGCTCTCTTCTGTCCTCGGTCCAAAGCTGCTTGACCAGAGCTGGTGTTCCTGCACTGAAAGACAGTGTGAAAGATACAGACCTAACGTGCTTGAGACCAAACCTTGTGTTTCCCACCAGTTGTTTTTGTTTTTTTTTAAGCATTCTTTGTTCATTGGCAGGGTGAATGTGCAGCATGAGCATTCAGAGGTGGAATTCAGAGGTTTGGCACACGGGGTGTGTTTTGCAGTTGGAGCACGTGTACTCGCACTGTCCATTTCCCTTCATGTGAAAAAGGGGTGTAACTGAAACAGCTTGTAAATAACAACGTTGCTTTAGTCCAGTTCCAGCTGTGCATGTATTGCAGCTTATTGTGAGAGGAAAAGAGCAGTGTGCATTCTCCAAGAGAGGTGGTTTGGGGTTTTTTTTTTTTTTCATTTTGAAGGAAAAGTAGACAGATGTGTTACTTTTTCAGTTGATGTTGATTGCATGGCTCAATATTCTGAATTTTCCCAGTTTGAGGGAGGAATTAGTGGCTTTTTTAAGTAAATGGAATAAGGAATTCAGTTCAGTATGTATTCTGTGAGTGATTTTCACTTATGGTGGAAATGCAGATGCGTCACCTTTATGTGGTTGTTGATGGATCAAGAACGATGGAGGACCAAGACTTAAAACCAAACAGACTTACTTGCACTTTGAAGGTATTTCTGGACTCAAAAATGTTCCCTTACTAAGCCACTGTTCCTTTATAAACCCAGTTACATTTTGCATTTAAAAGAATTGCAGTCTCCTGTATGTGCATAGCCTCATCTTTCCTATCATCCCTGCTTTTTTTCTCCCTTGATTCTCTTGCTAGTCTGTTATTTTCCTGTTTTTTGATTAATGTGACACTATTTTGCCATGCACATGTACTTCTGTACAGTAAAAGCACTTTATAAGGATATATTAGGGAAAGATGCTTTAGGAAAAGTATGTGGAAATTAATTGTTGCCCATAATAAGGGGATGAAAGAAAAACAGACATGTTTTCATTGCACATCTAGAATTGTTTGTATTTTTTTTTTTACAGTTGGGGTTTTTTTATGAATTCTGATTTGAAAGACTGTTAGTCAGGACTTGAATTGAATTGGTGTTTCAGGCATGGGGGACTTGAACTGTACATATTGTACTATATGGTCTTCCCTAATAACACTGAAGCGTGAAATCCTGGGTTTTGGTGATTTTGTACAGATTTGATGCTCTGTGGTGTGTTGGAAACCTCCATTTGAACCACTGGGAATCTGGAACTTGAACATATGATGTGAATAAAATAAAAAGGGGACAAGTTTCTGAAATTTACATTGCATTGGTAACATGGGATGAAGGAGAAGGGCTGGGGTGAAAGAAGAATAGAAAAGAATGTCTCATTCTCTTGTTTTGTTTTCCTCAGCTTTTTTTTTCCATTAATGATACTAGATGTTTTGCAAATATCACCTATTTAATGCATGGGGAAAAAAACTGTAATTAGTTCTTAACAGTCTTAACTTTTCTTTGTAGTTACTGGAATATTTTGTTGAAGAGTACTTTGACCAAAATCCCATTAGTCAGGTATGTACAACCATGCAAGAAACAAGTAATAGAAAGCTATTTTAGAAGGTAGTTTTAGTTTTAACAGTACCTAGTAAACTGTTCTCTGTTTATGTGTACCTTCCCATCCTATCTAGTGAAACTCTTGTTTCTGCCTGAACTAATGAATCTAAGAACCTGTCTGTTCTCTTATTCCTAGAGTCAATTCTGACATAGAAGACCTGATTATATTTTTTTCGGGCACTTGGATTTTTTAAAGATTTCTTTTTGTGCAAAAGCACTGGAAATATACAGTTTGTATTAACTGATGCATCACGTTGGGCTGCTGTTGTTACAGTTACAAGAACACTTGTATAGACTTGTATGGTTAAGTAATTCTGATCCATAAAGAAGTTATTAGGCAAAATATAGCAAAAATATAAATCATCCTCTTTTAAAACTTGGTAAGAAAACTTTTGACTATTTTTTTTTCCTTTTCCAGATTGGCTTAATTGTAACCAAGAGTAAAAGAGCTGAAAAAATGACAGAACTCTCAGGTAGGGAGTTAGTTTTGGGTTTTGTGGGGGTTTGTTTGTTTGTTTGTTTATTTGTTTGGTTTTTGTTTGGTTGGGGTTTTTTTGTTTTGTTTTGTTTTAATTGGAGATGTTTTTGTCTATTTCATTGATGTTACAAGTTCTACCTGATATGCTGCTGGAAGTGATGTTAACATATTTTTAAAAGATTAATTATTGCAAATCATCTGAAACCATAGTCTTTATTTTGATCTGTTTTGATCTAGATGTGGCACTGTGTGCTTTTTGCCATTGTCTTGTCCAGATTGCAGCTAAAACGTGATTTGTTTCCCCTATAGTTAATTTTCTACCTGGTTTGTTAATTTTGTATGTTATGACACCTGTGTGTATGGTGAGATCTGATCAGGTGTTAAAAGCAAGGTTTCTTTGGTTCCTGCCTGCTGTTACAGCAATCCCTGTGGCTTCAGAGATAAAGCAGACTTCACTGAGGAAATCCAGGATGAATCAATCTTTGAACAGTTCTTTGAGGATAACAGAAGAAACTAAACTCTTTTTTTGCTGAAACACTTTGTGAGACACTTTGCACTTATGTTGACCACTTAATGATACACAACATGTGATTTTATTTTGTTGACTTCTTAAAGTTTCTAACAACTGGGTGCCTGTAGAGTAAATGTCTTTCTGTTGATATATTGTTTTATTGTTTTCTGCATTCTGATTGGCACATCAGTTTCTAACGAAAAATAGACAGTTTTTTTGTCACAGTTTGAAAACTTGTCGTAAAGGTACACTTCATTGCATATGTACTTTAAATATTTCAATTCTTTTAACTTGTTATATCAATTGAATTGCTTGGGATTTTTTTTCACTTGCAGGAAACTCAAAAAAGCACGTAACTGCTCTGAAGAAAGCAGTGGATATGAACTGCAGTGGAGAGCCTTCTCTATATAATTCCCTAAATTTGGCCATGCAGACTTTAAAGTTAGTATTTACCTGGAGGTTTTTTTATTTTCTTAGTGATTGTGAATTTTTTGAGGGGCAGAGACAGAATTTTTTTCGGAGGAGCATCTTACACCATGCTGACTTGAGTTTTTAATTATGTTCTCTTACAATACAAATAAGAAGTTAAATAATGCTGGTAGTGCAGAAGTTGATTTTTTAACACGAGATGCTTGTATTTAGAGATGTGCTGCTTATAAAATGCAACAGTATTTTAAAACCAAGTAGATGATTGTACGTAGATATTGTGATGACAGACAGTTTTTTTTTACTGGAGGGCTGAGGTATGGAAAAGGACAGAGTTAGGGGTTAATGATGAGAGAACAGGCAAAGAAGCAGCATTGAGTCACAGTAATCTTGTGGGAGTTTTGGCATTCTTTAGAAAGATAAATTTTCAGGTAGGATAGATTTAAAACAATTTTTTGCTGTGTGAGGTGTTGAGATGTTTGAGTTTGGAAGACGGAATGAAAGATTTTGGCTAGAAACACTTACAGAACAAAGTTAGTAGTCAGTGTCATAAAAAACTATTTGAATGACTAACTGGAAGAGAATTTGCAACTAAGAGCCAAAAGTAGTTAAGAGTAATGAATTTACACCTATAAATTTTTATTTTAAGAAGTCAGAAGACTTGCTGTATTGTTGCTAGTTTGAAGGTAAATTTTACCTGTGAGAGTGTGGATAAGGGATTCATTAGAGCAAACAATTAGATAACAACTACACAGTCAAGTACTGGAAAGGTTTGGCTTATGGAAGGTGAAATCCTTCTCCTCAGAGAAGGATCATATTAGAATTTGTAGAGGACTTCATATTGTATCATCTTATGACTTCAGTGCATTAAACTCCTTGTAGACATTATCATCCAAGCAGCTTAGTGTGCAGCAGTAAATTAACTATGTACTTTCCTTAGGCACATGCCAGGACATACAAGCAGAGAGATTTTGGTAGTCTTCAGCAGCCTGACGACATGTGATCCAGCCAACATCTATGATTTAATTAAGGTACAGAATCGTAGTTTGACTACTGCATTGAACATCCAAGCTATTAGAGTAAAAACAGACAATTGCAGTGTCATCACCAATTAATTTTCATTTAAGACTTTTCACTAATTTTTGTTCTGCACATGAATTTGAGTATGCTTTCTTTTTCTATTTTAAGTGTTTAAAAGCAGTTAAGATCAGAGTATCTGTCATCGGCCTAAGTGCTGAAGTTCGAGTCTGTACAGTACTTGCCCGAGAAACTGGTGGTATGTATCTGAAGTTCAGTAGTTATATTACTAACACAGGTTTAAAATCAAAATTAAGTAACTGTTTTATAAATTCATTAATGCATTTTGATATTTAAGGATGAATATTTTCCATTGTCCTGGCAGAAAATTCAAGGGTTTCCCAAATCTATGAAATACACAGTAGTAAGTGAAATTATTATGAGCTGGCAGCTGCAGCTCTAGAGAGAAGAAATAGATATATTTTCAAAACTACTGTTCCACGTATTAAGCTATGTGATGTGGAACTTAAGCAATGTAACATGTTAATATTAATTGCTGCAGTGGTAACTTTTACAATATCATTACTACAGTGTAATGTTGGGGAAAAAAGCTATGGGCCTTCATGTCTAATTTAACATTCTGGTGTTACCAAATTCACAACTTGTCAGTTTCAGTAGCATTAGTAGGGCTAGTTTTTAGGAACAGGTTTGGATAAATTACTTTTTCTACTTAATTTGTTTTCTGTCATTTGGAGTGTATGTTTGTATTCTCAGCTGCTCATAACCTGCAAGTAAGGCATTTATTTCTTTGTGACAGGAACATACCACGTGATTTTAGATGAAAGTCATTTTAAGGAACTGCTGATGCATCATGTTAGTCCCCCACCTGCCAGTTCGAGTTCTGAGTGTTCCCTTATTCGAATGGGTATGGTACAGTTTTGTTAAACTCTGAGCACAAGATCTGCTCTGTCTTTTTACTTCTTTGCATCTTCTGTGTTAAAGCCTTACAAATAGTAATAAGCTTAATAAAGACATTGCAGAATTGTTTGGTTTTTTTATTTTGACTTGTGTTTTGCTAAAGAAATGCAAGTTTTCTTGATGTTGTTCCTGCAAAGTAGTCAGTTTTAAATAAAACTAACAATTAAAAAAGAGAAATTACTCAACAGAAGTTGGGAATAATAAAGTGGAATGATATTGCTTGTAGAGTGATTGTTATAAATGTACTACTTAGAAATTAAGGATGAAAAATTATTTTGTTTCTCCCTATTTTTTCCCTGCAGAAGGGAACTATCATAACTATTAATTGATTGTAAGAGCCATATGTTTAGCCATGTAGTACATATTTGTGAGGAGCACTGTTGTGGTGTTCTTTCAGCAAGTAGATTAGGTGCCTTTTCTTCTCCTGATGTGTTTCTCAATAAATTTAAGCTTGGAGTTAAACCAAAATAGGAACTATAATGCCACAAAGTAGAGCATTGAGTTCTCACTTTCATCCACCCCTTTCACAGAGAGACATGTATGTATTTTTATGTGTAGGTATAAATACTGAAGAGGTTTACTTGTTATAGGTAAAGCCTGAGGAGCAGTTGGGAGAACCAACTGTCCGTTTGTCATGAGCTGTAAAAAATAAGTGGTAGAAAGAAAGGTGTCTGTTACAGTCTCCATAAAATGCTGTAGTGTCATCTGTTGTATACTGCACTTGGAAGGTGAATATAGGCTTGGTGTCTGCATATATAAAAATATTTTCCCCTTAATTAGAAACCATTGTTTAAGTGAACATTCGTGTGGTGCTTATTCTGCTTTCCTACCATTGCATATAGTTTTCTTTTTCACTGTTCTTCAGAAATGGGGTTCCAGGAGCTTCAGTTAATACAAAGTCTATGAAAAGACATTTTTTCAGTTGGGGAAAGTATGCTGAGGGATATGTGAATGTAGGTAGAGACCTTTAGGGAGAATTTGATACCTAGTAAGCGTGTATTATTTCTACTGTAATAACAAACAAGAAGGAGATAGGCCTTAATATTTAGAGTAGTCTTTGAACTTCTCCACTAAAGTATGAAACTGACACATTACTTGCATGTGTAAAATTGTTAATATGGGCTGTTTTTCTCTTCAGGTTTTCCTCAGCATACTATTGCTTCCCTGTCTGATCAGGATGCAAAGCCTTCCTTTAGCATGGTGTAAGTAGAGTTAATTAGAATTCAGTGAGCTGATAAGAATTCAGTATCAATTAGTTATATATTTAGAAAATCTTTACAGTGAAAATATTGCAAAATAACATGAAAAAATAGCAAGCAATGTCTTGTGACTTCTCAGCAGATATTTTATTTTCATTTGCACATCCTGTATGTGACCATAGTTACCTCTGTTAAATATGCTTTTTAAACTTTGCATTTAAATTTTTGGAAGATGGTAAATGGTGCTTAGTTGTGTTATACAATGATTAGGGCAAAAGGGTGCTACAAGGTGCTAAAGTAATTACTGCCAATTTTATGTGCAGTTCTTCATTTAGGTATTGCTATCATTATAAAAGGTAATTATTAGGATGAAGGGTATTATCTGAATAAAGTACTTTTTTATGTATTTCCTAATGTAACTTTAAAGGGAAGCTTAAAATATAGGCCTTATTTGATTACTGTATCTGAGCTCTTCTTAATGAAAAGAATCATGGTTTTCAGGGCTGATATGGGAGTCTGAATTCTTAGAAGGAAACAGTGTCTGCTATTTGAAAGAATAAGTACACTACCATGCAGCTTACAGTCAATACAGAATATTTTTGTGCCAAAGTAGGAATAGCAATGCAATTGTCACTCATAACTTTACTTTTTAAAGATGCATTGGTGCCTTTTTGTGAGAAAATTTGGTCTTTGTTCTGTTCTTGTGAAAAAATGTGGTTACTGATACCTCCTCGTGTCAGATGCTTTCTGACACACATGGAACTGTTGCGTGCAATCTACTGAAACTTTTAAAATTATTTGTTGTGAAAACTGTGTAATATCTGTAGTTAATGTAGTAGTATGGTGTTACCTCTTAGGTACTGAATTGTTTCTTTCTTCTGTAGGCAATTGGAAAACAACAGTGAGCCCAGTCTCACACTGGGTGGGTATTTTTGTCCCCAGTGCAGAGCCAAATACTGTGAGCTTCCTGTGGAATGCAAAATCTGTGGTAAGTAGCAAGAAGAGGCGAGTGAATGAAGTAGGAGTTAGTGGTAAGAGAGTTAAGGGGTAGAAAAATTCAATTATACTTAGGAATTAAAAGCAGCTCTGCTTTTAGGGTCCTGCATTCCTGTGACCTGGGATGCCAACTTCATACGAGGGATATTTCAGGATATACCTGCAACAGGAAACCTGTATCATATCCCCTGGTGTAATGTTATAAACTAGAAGCCCTAAAGCAGGGAAGAAGGGTGATCCATATGTGAATGGTAATTTCTCAAGAATCCAGATTTAACAGACACACCAATGTTCCAGGCTCCTCAGTGCAAGGCTGTGGAGATAGAATGCTTTGGAGTAAAAAGGCAGAAGACCTCCCACCTCCAGGAGTATGTGAATGGAAGATTTCCAAGTAGACCCCAAGGGCAGGCTGCACAGTGACACATGACAGGCTGTAGAGTTGTAAATGGAAGCCCTTTGGTCTTGCAAATGTTAATGGACTGTGCAACCAATGATTCCTCCCCCTCTTGCCCTTAGTGAGGGTGGGAGGGAGGATTAGCATGTTTTATAGTATTAATGCTGTGAGTGGTGCTGTCCTGTTAGCTTCTACTGGCATATGACTAAAACGTGATAGGTATTACCAAGATGTGTGTATTTGGCAAGAGGATGAAAAAATTACAGTTTTGGGTCGCTTTATCCTATTTTAATTTCAAGTTTTTCATACAAGCATAAGTTGGGTTCCAGCAAGGGAATAGTGTAAAAGAGAAATCCTGTATCAGCAGTGGATTCTCCACAGCTGCAGGGATCAGGCAGGACAAGAGCTCAGATGCTTACACTGCATGTGAATGAGTGGTGGAGATGTTTGTGCCAGCCCAAGCCCTACTTAACCTGTTTTCGTGGTCTGACCCCAGCTGGCAACTCAGCCCCACACAGCCACTCAGTCCCTCCTCCCTGGTGGGATGGGGGAGGCAATTGGAAGGGTAAAAGTGAGAAAATCATGGGTTGAGATAAGACAGTGTAATATATACAGGAAAAGCTGTACGTGCAAGCCAAGCAAAATAAGTAATTAATTCACTACTTCCCATTGGCAGAATCTCCAGGAAAGCAGGGCTCCATCATGGGTAACAGTGAGGGGAGAAGATAAATACCATCTCTCTTCCACCTTCATCCAGCTTTATAGGCTGAGCATGATGCCATGTAATGTGGGTTATCCCTTTCTTCTGTTGGGGGACTGACTGGCATCCTGGCTGTTTCCCCTCCCAACTCCTTGTGCACCCCCAGTCCTACTCACTGGTAGGGTGAGAAACAGAAAGGGCCTTGGCTCTTTGCAAGCACTGCTCAGCAGTAAGGAAAACTATCCTATTCCCAGAACAAATCCAAAACACAGCCATTTGCTTGTTAGTGTGAAGAAAATTAACTGTTAAAACCAGCAGACCTGTGTTAGCTGAAACAGGACTGTGGTGTGCTTTTGGCAGTATTACAGGAGGCTGGAGTAGAGCATTTTAGTGATGTGATACAGCAGAGCCATCATTGCCAAAGAGGAGCTTCCTAACTTGACCACTATGCATTGTAAATGTACTTCTAAAGACAGAGTTAAACCTTTTCAGTAGAAATTTGAGTAATTTGCTTGTTCTTTATGTTTGGATTTAAATCTGGAAAGGATTACAGCTTTGGCTTTTAGAAGCTAACGGAACAAATAATTTTAATTTTTTAAATTCCTGAAAGCTTTGAACCACTGAGTAATTTAAAATATTTTTTTTTCCCTTTTGACTGTATTTTATACAGAAAAGCTTTTCAGTAAGTTCTCTCTTGTAATAATTTTGATGTCTCTTTATTTGCAGGTCTTACACTAGTGTCTGCACCTCACCTGGCTCGGTCATACCATCACTTGTTTCCTTTGGATGCTTTTCAGGAAGTTCCACTGGAAGAATACAAGGGGGAACGGTATGCAAATCATATTTATGATAATAAGTTTACTTGTGGATCCTGTAATTTTTTTGTCACCAAAGTAAGAATAGCTGGCAGCAGCTACTTTGCTGATGGAGACACTGAATGTTTGTGTAGTTTTGGGCACCTCTGGCATTAAGAAATATTTGTAGTTCCCATCAACAGTTATATCTATGAGTTCAGTTGAATAGCTGAAATAATTGCCATGAATTGTTGCTGTGTATAAGATATTTTTTAAACACAGATTGACTCTTTTTTCAGTTAAAATAACACAGTTTTGCTTTCAGGTATTGTCAAGGCTGTCAGGGAGAAATGAAAGATCAAAATGTGAGTATGTTGAGCTGAATTGGAGTTTGCATTGAGGGTTTGAGAAGCAGAGGTGATCCTTTAGTCATCTTAAGACCACGAAAATATTCGTGGATGTTTATGTCATGGTTAACTGGTGTTCTGTGATAAAGAGCCATGTTTTTTAGACTGCAAAGTCTATAAAAGTGTGGGAAGGGATTTCCTAGGAAGCTGCATAAAGAAGCTTCCACTCTTAGCCATGTGGAAGCATCTACAATGACCTGAGCTCAGCCCTGCGGATATACTTGCTGTTAGAAACTTTAAGTTCAGTGTTTCAGAGTTTCAGTGATGTTAGCAACACAGTCTGTTTACACTGTCTTCATGACACAACTGTTGCCCTACTGCAGTGCTATGATGGTGATAATTTTTTAAATTTGACTTGTTTTTCTATCCTTTCCACACAGGTTTACATATGTAAAGTGTGTCAGAATGCATTTTGTGTGGAATGCGACCTGTTTGTCCATGATTCTCTGCACTGCTGTCCTGGCTGTATTCACGAGCATCCTGCTCCCATATCTGTATGACACCATGTCTTTGAGAAATTGTTTTATTTATGTCACTCTTGCATGAATTTTTTTTGTTCAGACATTTTTTTCATTCAGACAGTTTTGTTTATTCAGACATTATTTTAACTGACATATCTCAGAACAACAAGATGGTTAAAGAGGGGTGATGTGCTGGTTTAAAGGTAAACCATCAGGGGAAATGAACTCAACTCAAAAGAGAGATTATAAGTCAGAATAACAATTTAATAAAATAATACAATAAGTACAATTATACAGACAAACGATTGGTTTTAACCCACAAAACCCAAATGTATAACCCAGCACCCTGGGGCATGAACAGAGTGGTGTTCTTTGGGCCCCGAGTCCAAAGGAAAAGGAGAGGGGAAAACCTGTTGCAGTCTGGTTGAAAAGTGGTGGTTGCAGTCCAGTCGAGAGTGGTGGTCTCAGTCTGGTTGAGAGCAGTGATCTGCAGTCTCCCTCTGGATCCCACGAGTGGTTAAAAAGGTCCCAGGACTCCAAGATTATATATCCTCCAGTTCAGGCAGGAATGTCCAGTACCTCCCTCAGGGCAGGGGGTTCCTCAATGGGTGTGAGGACAAGAACAACTCCTATCTCACAGGCCTCTTAACACCCAGTTTATAGCCTGAGGAGTCAGGCTCTATGTGCAGATGGTATAAATGGTTCATTGATAACAGTTTCTGGGAAATGGCATGGAAGGCCATAGAGTACACAGTTTTGGGTTACACCCATCCAGTGATGAACTGGTCCCAGCTGTTCTAACTAGGACAGATGAACAGTGGCATCATAATGTTTTAATGATTTTATTACTTATAATATATTCCTGAATTACTTGTATCTATTTTCTCTGTTCTTGTCTAATGAGCTCTGGCTTTTTCCAGCTGTTATTATGGGTAATGTGTATATTTTTAAATGTGAAAGTGATAAAACTGGTTTTTTAGATATTGTGGTGATTTGGTTTTGTTTCGTTATTAGTTCAAAATGAAGCCCTGAAAGTACGTTTTACATATCTGTTGTTACAAACTTTTGCTTTTGGTGGATGGTGGAGTTCTACAGATCAAAATATTCTTTTGCAAGGATTCAACAAAAATATTTTTGAGCAATTAATTGGTGGATATTTCATATATTAATTTCAGGTATTGTGGGTACTCACCTTGGCCTTCAGTAAGACCGCTCAAATACAGCTGTTATAAAGGTGCTGAAAACACATTTTAGGTTTTAATGGTGAAACTCAAAGCTAACTGAATTCTATTACTGCTGTGTTCGCAGTTATGTGGTTTCACTTTCTTGTAGGAGGTAAGACTGCTGAAAGGCAAGGAACTTGCAGAAGGGCAAGACCTGGGTTTATACTAACTATTGTTTGATGGTGTGCTGGTTTAAAGGTAAACCAGCAGGGGAAATGAACTCAACTCAAAAACGAGATTCTAAGTCAGAATAACAATTTAATAAAACAATACAATAAGTACAATTATACAGACAAACAATTGGTTTTCACCCACAAAACCCAAATGTATAACCCAGCACCCTGGGGCATGAACAGAGTGGTGTTCTTTGGGCCCCCTGAGTCCAAAGGAAAAGGAGAAGGGAAAACCTGTTGGTGAGAGTGCTGGTGCAGTCTGGTCAAGAGTGGTGATTGCAGTCTGGTTGAGAGCAGTGATCTGCAGTCTCCCTCTGGATCCCACGAGTGGTTAAAAATGTCCCAAGACTCCAAGATTATATATCCTCCAGTTCAGGCAGGAATGTCCAGTACTTCCCTTAGGGCGGGGGGTTCTTCAATGGGTGTGAGGACAAGAACAACTCCTATCTCACAGGCCTCTTAACACCCAGTTTATAGCCTGAGGAGTCAGGCTCTATGTGCAGATAGTGTAAATGGTTCATTGGTAACAGTTTCTGGGAAATGGCATGGAAGGCCATAGAATACACAGTTTTGGGTTACACCCATCCAGTGATGAACTGGTCTCAGCTGTCCTAACTAGGACAGATGGGCTCAGTATTGAAGAGAGATGCTATTTGGTTCTGAGGCTTCAGTGAATTGACAGAACTACACATTTTCTTCTCTCCTGGGCTAAACCCCCAGAGCAATAGACAGTAAGGTGGGTGGAGAAGGGGAAGCGTGTGGTCTTATCTGAACATCAAAAGAATAGAATTGAGACTAACACAAAACTCTTGTCATGTGCTACACCTCAGGAAGAGGTTACAGGTGCAGTGTCTGAAGCAGTAGGTCATACCTGGTTTTCTTGTCATCTTATGATTGTAAACACATCAGTGACTGAGTTTCTCTGGATGTATATGAAATATGACTTGATTTTTTTAAAGGGTGAGGTTTGTTGTCAGGTTAGAAATGGCAGTATAATCACTGAGTCTTAAAACTGCAAACAAGCAAAAAAATCAAACCTCTATCTTAAGTTAGTTCCCTGTTTTTCATGCTCACCACATACAAACAATGCACACTACATTTCAGTTCTCACAGGCAGTTTTAAAGTCTGTTAAATATGAAAATTCTCAGTTGTGAACGTAGCTCTTTCTGTGCTTTTTCTACCATTTACGCCTGCAGGCTGGATAGAAGGCAGTCATTCTCTTGTGTTGGCAGAAAAATGATTGTTCACCTGCATTTCATTTTGTGCTTAGTCAAACAATCCCTATAAAGCCTTTGTGCTATGCCTATTACTGTAAGAGTGTCCTTAAAAACTAGCAGAAAAAGGACATAGCCCTGGGGTTTAGTGGGGTCTAGGAGGCCATTCCAAGCCAAACTAATGCCCTGAGCAGCTGGCTCTTAGATATTCTGATGCTGGTGACAGTGTCTTGAGACAGTTTTTTCTGGTAATATTTTCATCTTTGCATTCAGCACTTCCTAATGGAAAAAAAGGTTTTGTCTGAACACTTCAAATCCATTTTAGGTTTTTCTCTTACTAGATACCAAAATAACATACTCCTACACAGCTTCTATTTCTGAAAGCAAAAGCTGTGTATGAAGTTGTGGGCCTATACTCCATTACCTGCTTGTGGTCACAGCAATAATTTGGTTTGTACTTTTCTACCGTTCTCGTTGGAAGAGCAGTTCAAACTAGCTCCTGAAAAATCACTACTGGGGCAGTATTTCTCTGATGCATGAAGAATTTCAGCTGTGTACTGTGTATTTAAAACAGCATGCAGGGAATTTTCCCATCACCTGTTCTCTTTTTCTGGCATTCACTGGCTGTCAGGTCTTCTTTGCTCTTCTGGGAAGCTCCAACCTTCTTAATTCTCGTTATATCCCTATTTACCGGATCTGCCACAAGATAAGTTAGTCAGTGAGGTTATTAGCAGGCCTGTTAGAAATTCTTGGTAGTTCTTGAAGATGTTGCATAAAAGGTTTTGGACATAAAGCGTTGAGGAAGAGACAAAAGACCAAAATATTCCGTGGTGGGATTGAGGACACAACTGCGGCAGTAAGTTCAAGACTGGAGTGTGCTGCCGTTTGGAGTGCAGGGGACTTCAGAAAGGTGAGTGCCTTCACTTTCCTTCCACTTTATACTTTCCTTGCAGGAATAACAGTTGCCATCTGTAATAATGATCATAACTAATATCCAAGACTGGAAGTGCTAATAATATATTAAAATATGAGTAAAAGAGGAGTCGACAAGAGGAGCAGGTGGATGATCGAAGGAGGCTGTGACCCCATGGAGAGCCTGCACCTGTAGCAAGCTCCTGGCAGGATCTATGGCCCTATGGAGAGAAGAGTCCTTTCTGGAGCAGGTTTGCTGGCAGAACTTGTGACCTTGTGGAGGACCCATGCTGGAGCACCCTGTTAAAGGACTGCACTCCATGGAAGGGAGAGGGCAGTTGTGCCTCTTCAGCAATGAACAGTTGCTGAACAGATGATTTAGAAGCTTTGCATCACTGCAATCAATCTTAATTTACTTCAGCTAGACAATGAAGAAAACACCTTCAAAGTAGCTTAGCTAAGTTATGATTAAGTTTTTCTCTTTTTTATTAATTTGTGGGAAAACTAATTCTCTCTGACACTTGACCACAGTAGGAGGAGGAAGTGAACGCAGTAAAGTTGAGGCCTGTATTTCCCTGAAAAGCAAATCACTGGCTTTAACTAAATTACTGCCTAGTTTTGTGCCTACAGCCTCTGCTCTGCAAGAGTAGAATTGTAGACTAGAATTCAGCCCTACATGGTAAGTGATGCAACCTGTCCATAATTAGCATTACGTTTCAGAGAGTCTGCTTTTTCTAATTTATTTTTAGTAATGGTACTCAGGAAAAGGCAACACAGCAAGACTTTCTGATATGTTCCAGCCATTCATCCAACCAACAAAAGTCTACAGAAGCTAAAAATAAAACCACCTAAAACAAACCACAGAGTTTGAAAAGTAGAACTTTATTAACAAGCACTTGAAACAAGAAATTAGTCTTTCTGAATAAAGCTGTCATATTCATGATTCTAATCAGACCCATAAGATGTCTCTGTTAATATGACAGTACAGTTTTCTGGGCCATTACAGTGGGCACTGTAACACATTGCTGCCACAGCTCTCTCTTTTGTAAAAGAATATTCCATAATCAATGGTTCTGGTGCTGTCATTCAGACAAAACGTCTGAGGAACACAAGAGGTGTTAGGATGAGAGATAAATGAAATCTATCACGTGGGATCAAAAAGGTTAAATCTATCATGTGGTAAGAAAACTTGAAATTGTCTCAGGGAAGTAAGAAATACTTTGTTGCTGCAGTCCTTGCTAAATACATTTGACTGGAGGGCTTAAAGAAATGGCTCATTTCAATGTACATTTACTTACTAGTAAATGAAGTTACTGAAGGTATTTCTTTACTCATTAACAGGGGCAGCTCAGTGTTAAGAAAACATGACTAATTGTCTTGATAGAATTCTGTTCTTCACCATCAACCATCAGTTGGTGATACAGTGACATACACCTCTCAGTGGGAAAGATTTGTACCTGGCTTAAAAAAAGAAGCAAAAATTAGTATAGAATAGCTATTTCCTTTAAACACACAAAGAAGAATTACTCAACTACACAGAAATTACACGTTGTCATAGAAAATCAGAAAACAAGTCCTGAAGAGAATATAGTTTTGTTTTATAAGGAAGTGAACAATACACAGCAGACTTCTGAAGGAAGTTTTTCAAATAAAAGCATGGGCACTGAAGCAATGAGAAGAGAACTGCTCAATAATATCAAACTGAAATGTTGATCTTGTCCTGGAAACAGTTTAGCTACACATCTATGTAAGG